TTATTATTTGTATTATTATTATTATTTTATCTAAATGAATTGTTAATAAAGGCAATTATATCTCACAATTTAGCAGAATAAAGTCTTCCAGAATGACATGTCATGAGGATAAATATCTGTCTTTTCTTCTATTTCAGACCACATTGCTACATTTCTGGGAGAAAACCTCTCACACTATGGCTGCTATTCATGAGAGCTTCAAAGGCTGCCAGACTCATGAGGCTTCAGCGCTGGGGGTGAGAGCTTTCAGAAGAAATGAATCTCAGATTTATTCATATGGATGTGTGTATTTACTTTCATGGCTCTCATTTTGTGTTTAAACTATAAAATAAGTTTGTATCATTTTTCAGTGAGATTTGGATTTGTTTCTGATGTTTTTAGTATTTAAAAGAAAGATGATTTTCTTACGTTTTATATTTACATTTATTTATTTATTTAGCATAGCAAATTTTGGAAAAAAAATACACTACTTTTTGAAATGTTTGGGGTCAGTAAGATTTTACTTTTATTCAGCAAGGATGCATGAAATTGACCAAAAATGACTCATAAAGTTACAAAAGATTTTTATTTTAAATAAATGTTATTTTGAACTATTATACTTTTCAATAAAAATATAAAGCAGCACAATTGTCTTCATAATTAATAATAATAAGAATTGTTTCTTGAGCAGTAAATCAGCATATTAGAATGATTTCTGAAGGATCGTGTGACACTGAAGACTAGAGTAATGATGCTGAAAATTCAGCTTTGATCACAGGAATAAATTATATTTTAAGATATATTCAAATCGAAATATTATTACAACTTAAAATAACTGTTTTCTGAGTTTTTACCATATTTTCGATCAAATAAATGTATGCTTGGTCAGAATAAGAGACTCTCGGCAACCCCAGACTTTTGAATAGTAGTGTGTGCTACAGACTGAGGTTTGGATGTCTCCCTTCTCAATTATGATATCCTTTTGATATTGTCAGTAGCAGAGAAATGTTTTCACATGATATGGGGCAAGTTGTCACAACAGGAACCTGCTGCTTATTGATTATTCATCCCAAAATAGGCTTTTGCCTCCGATTTGTGATCAAATAAAAACTGTTAAGTTTAGTAAAAACTCACCCATCCTCGTTTAGACAAACAAGCAGTGATATTACGATGCATGTCCAACAAATCTGTTCATCTGTCGTGTCTGATACTCCAGGGTTCAGATCAAGCTGCAAAGAAAAAGGTAAAGAAGAAAACGAAGGCAAAAGCAGACGATGACGAGACGAGTCAGAATACAGATGAAACGTAGAAGCCTCATTTCGTTTTTATTTTGATGTGTGATATGTGACGCTGGACCACAAAACCAGTCATAAGGGTCAATGTTTAAATAAGCTTTCCATTGATGTATGGTTTGTTAGGATCGGACAATATTTGGCCGAGATACAACTATTTGAAAATCTGGAATCTGAGGGTGCAAAAAAATCAAAATATTGAGAAAATCGCCTTTAAAGTTGTCCAAATGAAGTTCTTAGCAATGCATATTACTAATCAAAAATTAAGTGTTAATATATTTACAGTAGTAAATTGACAAAATATCTTCATAGAATATGATCTTTACTTAATATCCTAATGATTTTTGGCATAAAAGAAAAATCGATCATTTTGACCCACACAATGTATTTGGCTATTGCTACAAATATACCCCAGCGACTTACGACTGCTTTTGTGCTCCAGGGTCACATATTAACCTCTAATCACTTATGTCTTCTCTTCCAGGCTTATTTCAATTGAAGAAGAAACTCTGAGCAGTAGCCTCATGCAAACAGGTAAAGCTTTCATAAAAACGGAATTTTATCCATATGACACAATAATTGAATTCAACATTGTTGAGCAGTGACTTTGCACTGTATATACAGGAAATGATGACACTTTCTCTGGCGGTCAGGAGCAGGATGGCTTGAGTTTGTTGAATGAGATCCTGGGCAGCAGTTCTCTGGAGGACGGGGGTTTCTCACAGGAATGGCGTGAGGTGTTTGGAGAAGATGATCCGACCGGCAGTAGCAGAGCAGAGACGCAGCCGCCCGAGGACGAGCCCGCTTTCTTTCTGCCTTCTACTCTACTCGACCAGAACATGAACGACCTACAGTCCACAGTCTCAGGTCTGCAGAAACATGATCTAACAGAAAGTCTGCTTCACTCTGCAGCTTATTCTGGACATGAACTGTCCACTTAGACACGAACAGACTGAAATCTGTATCTTCTGTCTGAAATAGATGATATAATAATAATAGATCATCATGAAACAAACTATACACTACAGTTCAAAAGTTGGGGTTGGTACGATTTTTTAATGTTTTTGAAAGTATGCTCACCAAGGCTGCATTTACTTGATCAAAAATACAGTAAAAACAGTAATATTGTGAAATATTATTACAATTTAAAATAGTGTTTTATATTCAGTTATATTTTAAAATGTATTTTATTCCTGTGATCAAAGCTGAATTTTCAGCATCATTACTCCAGTCTTCAGTGTCACATGATCCTTCAGAAATCTATTTCTATTATTTTTTATTATTCTAATATGCTGATTTGCTGCTCAAGAAGCATTTACTATTATCAGTGTTGTGCTGCTTAATGTTTTTGTGGAAACCATGATGCGTGTTTTTCAGGATTCTTTGATGAATAGAAAGTTCAAAAGAACAGAATTTATTTGAAATCTTTTGGAACATTATTTCTTAACTGTCACTTTCGGTCAATTTAATATGGAAGCCCATTTCCCCCCCAGACAAAACAAACAAACAAACAAAACAAACAAACAAAACAAAACAAACAAAACAAAACAAAAAAACAAAAAACAAAAAACAAAAAACAAAACAAAACAAACAAAACAAAACAAAACAAAACAAAACAAAACAAAACAAAAAATTCTCACAATTGTAAAAAAAAGAAAGAAAAAAAGTCAGAATCGTGAGATGTAAACTCAAAATTATGAGATATAAACTTGGAATTGCAAAGGGGGAAAAAGTCAGAATTCTGAGTTTACATTTTGTAATTCTGACTTTGAATTGCAAGTAACAAAAAATCACAGTTCATCTTTTTTATTTTTTGTTCTGTGGTGAAAATGGGCTTCCATAATTTAATGTGTCCTTGCTGAATAAAAAAAAAGTATTATTTTCTGACCCCAGACTTTTGAATGGAAGTGTACATCTACTGTAAATGCTTTTGAATATTGTCTGTATTACAGGTTGGACAACAGCCATTCCACAGAATAGTCCTGAAAACTCATCTGTAGCAAGTCAAATCTCTTCCAAATCTGCAGTGAAAGGTAAATATGATAAGAGCTATTTATAATATGTCAGTCACATCCAGTTTTGAGAGTGTAAACAGAGAGAGATTAAATAATAAACTAAAATTATAAATAAAACTGATTGGCCACATTTCAGATTTGATTTCAGACCAAATATTTACACCCCAAACCTTAGGTTGTATTTTTGTATATATTACAATGCATCTTTACAAACAAACAAATAACGTATCATTCTAATCCTTTTTTTTTTGTATTACAGATACTTCAAAAGATCTCTCTGCTTGGTTCAATCTGTTTGCCGATCTGGATCCGCTGTCAAACCCGGATGCGATCGGCCGAACCGATGAGGAACACGAGCTACTGAACGCGTAATCTGTCCTGTTACAGCTGCACTTTATCGCTCTTGTGGCACAAGAGGCCTACAGACGCCTGCACTGGACAGATAGCAACACTGGTTTCTCTATGCCATAGCAGTTAACCTTCATTATTTCATGAATAAACACTTGCTGCCAAAGGAAACTAATAATCATCACTCTGGCCTTGATTCTTTTCCATTTGCTAGTATTGTCAAGGCAGTTTGAATTGCCATAACAATGCGGATTTTCTTGTATTACATAAATGTATATACTACTGACACATTATCATTATCAGCAACAGTAAGTAGTTTGGGTTTGCATGTTGTGATATTGCACGATTTCAGATTTTTTTATTGTTATTTCTTTTAAATGTCATCTTGATCAGTTCAGAAATTAAAATAATTATATAAGAAAATAATTTAGTGCCGTCAACTAAAACTAATGCTGCATTTCAGAAGCCTTAAATATGAGAGGACTTTATTACAGTCCTTCAATTAATTTATTTTCATGAATATTATATATTATATTATGGAAACTTCACCTGATGTGAAAGCAGCTATTAATAGGTCAAGGTGTACATAAATTGAAGATGTTAAGATGTATGTTTATGTTATATAAAGCAACTGTGCTCACTTTTTACAGGCTGGGTTCTGGAAGTATTTTTCTGGAAAAGCATATATGATAAATAATAAAACAACAGGTATTCATTGTATGTTTGCTGAAAGGTGAAACATTATGAGAGACAATTAATGGGATTTTTACTTGCAGAACTTGGCTATTATACTCTATTATTTTTGTCATGCATACCAATCAAACTTTGGTAAAACAGTTACGTATCTTGTTGGTTAACTGTATTTCTTAGTGTTTGTGTGCCTGAAACATGATTCCCATGTACTTACAAATTACCGTTCACCATACATATTGTTACATGCAAGTGCAATAAAATGTAATCAAGATTTGTAAATGTGATTCCACAATACGCAGTGGGACCAAAAGGCCTTACTGAAGTCAGTTCTTATCAGTGCTTTACAAGACAAAGTAAAATATGCATCATAATAAATCATATCCCACTACACCAAATAATGCCATACAATTTTCAATATTTTGTGTTGTACTCATGTGTTTCTTCCATTTGTAATATGGCTGTAACCCTGAATGGCATGAAATGAATAAAAGCAGCTTAATTTTATCCAGTAGTGGGACTATACCTTTTATAATATACATACACAAATGACATGCTGCTAACTAGAAACGTTCCTTTAAAAATATTTCGAAAGAAAATTATTTCAATTATTCCCAGAAGAAAGAAAATTCTGTTCCCCGTTTCTATAGTAAGATTTAACATTTTCATGACTATTAGTTTTCATACACAAATTACCGGTACATTTTTTTTTTTTTGATTTTATTTAGAATGTTCATAGCTGTTTAATACGAACATTAAAAATCCCTGACCCAACCAATTATATGCAGTTTAAAAAATAGGAAGCACATCGTTGTAGTAAAAAACAGAGAAATGAATGCAAATATTATATCTTGAAAAATGTCACTTTAATGTGAGCATCCAGCAGTCATATTTATACACCATAACAGTGTCACATGAATCAAAGAGGCTAAAAACACAAAGCCATACTGTTCAATAAACGTATGGATGTTAGGGCTGAGCAGCATATAGAATATGTGCAATATATTTGCAATCCTTTTGCTGGCAACATAATGACTGGGTGAAATTTCATTTCTTCTACAGGAAAAAAACAAAATCATCAAAATACTAAAATATTGAAATATAGTTAATTAGCTATATCGTCCAGCCACAGAGTTATGTGTTAAGGCATGAAGCAGATTTTTGGCTGTTGGCCTGTTGATTATCTGTCGTATCTAATGCGTTTTACCTGGTTAGTAGGATGTGCTGTAAGGTTAAGTAAAGATTTGTGCATTCCAGCAGAATTACATGAAACCCCAAGACAAAGTTCAACATGATGGTCCTTTTGGACAACCATTAGCAAGTAATACATTTCCTAGAAAATCCCTAGAAAAGTCAGCTGTTTGAGATCTGAGCTGTGATTGGCTAACTGAGCAGCAGGCACTTCCTAATACTGCAGCATTCTGACGACACGGGCCGCAGCGGGAAGCTGTTTTGTACTGAGGCCTCTGTAAATGGACCAGACGTCTGTCCTGAAGTTTGAGTATCCAGTGAACTGGGGCGAGCAGCATCATCTGACGGGAAAAGAGATGAACACAGCAGCTTCACTGGACAGAAGGCCGAGCCGCTCGGAGTGAAGTTCACCTTGTTTCTGTCTGGGCAGGAGAAAATGGGAAAGCCTTGTGTTCTACAAGTGCTACAAAGAAAAAAAAAAAATATGAGAAGATCAAGAAACGTAGTTATATATATATAAACTCATCTCGCTCCTTCCTAGTGTTTGTCCCGCACTGGTGTACACAGTGTATACATACATGCATATATGAATATATATATACATACATATATATGTTTATACATAAGTTATACAAAATGTATATATGTATATATAAATGTTTATACATGCCTATATGAATATATATATATATATATATATATATACATACATATATATTAGTATATATTAGTGCTGTCAAAC